AAACGCTTTGATGCGACGCAGACACCAGAACCGACTGCTGGTAAAAACAAAAGCCTCAGAACAACAAATGCGATTGTCTGCAGCCTACACGTACAGTAAGGGATGCTTTCCCATAAACTGCTCCCACTAGTGCTATTTCCAGCTGCTTGAAAGTCGCTGATTTAAATCACGTAATTGCTAACAGAGTCCCGTGATGTTATTTTAGCTTTAAGCTCCGAGATCGGCTGTTAAAGGGGAATAAAACGACGCCGTTTAATTCGTCTCTATTGACGGGCCTAATGCCTCGCTGAATCGAGAGCGCGTTGTGCTGCTTCGTGTCTAAAGAAGTGCATTTTACAGGGTAATTGAAAGGCTTTTATGTCACAGAACGTTTGAGTCCAAAGCCGGCACTGACGGATTAAGACCGACTCTGACAGAGCGCTGTGAAGAGGGGGCATTTCACGGAGGAGACATGAAAGCGATTCTTGGATCTGAAGCGATAACTTTAATCTCGGAGCCAAATTTTCCACAACAACCTACAGATGGATGAGGCTTATGTGTCATCAGCGCGGCTCTGGCTGATTGTGTTACTGTATCCCGACACAAAACCGGCTCGCGTGTGAGACTGACAGCTAAATCAAGATGGCAGCCGGCTCCTCGAATGCCATCTCGTTACGGCTCCGCGTTTAATGCGATTAGAGATGAAGTTCTTGCTCTGGGGGGGCAACGACTAAATCTGGAACGAAACGGGGAGAAAGAAACATTTATCTCACTTTAAAATGAGTTTTTCTGTGCCTTAAATCCAGCTCTGTTATTCCGAGGCGTCTTGATTGTGCCTCTGCTTCTGTCCCCAGTGGAACTTCTAATCAACACTTTAAAGTCGAGACGTCACAATCAAGTCTGTTGCCCTCAAACCGATCACATTTATATTGGGTATTTTCTGAATCCGAAACCGCTTTCTTCAAGAACTTGAAATACATTAAAGTTACTAAAATCAGCCTGCTGTATACTGAGCTGAATGTATCTGCAGCGCATTAAGACAAAAAGGCATTTCTGCATCCAGGCTCTTCTTTAACGTACTGTAGGGGGTCAAGAACCTTGTTGTAAAGCTCCAACAGATGGAGTCGATCTGTATTCTCTACATGATGTCAGTAAATGCACCACAGACCAGCTGTAGTACCTGGTTGTTCCACCAGGTACCACAGACCAGCTGTAGTACCTGGTTGTTCCACCAGGTGGAATCGGAACATTTGATGGTATCCAGGACCAGGCGCTACTCTCACACTAATTAACTAACTACGAGTTTTCTTCTGTCGTTAATTCAAAGGATTAAAAATATATAAAGCGATGAGGCAGAAGATGAGGAACAAGCATGTCAGTAAACATATGGTAGACCAGCTGTAGTACCTGGTTGTTCCACCAGGTGGAGCCTCTTCCTGTTTAATCCTGTAGGGACCAGAGGAGGCGTCACTCAGACTACAGCTCATGGTGGCAGCAGAGAGCATTGTGGGAGTTTAGCAGCAACGGGACCATGACAGAGACTCTGAGGAGGTTCAGGACCTCCGACCTGCAGCATTACGCGTCTACAACAGGAAAGGCTGTCAGAAGTGTCTGACTTGTGGTTTTTAAGGTTTATTTCACTCAAATAGTAATTTCTAATGGACGTGTTATTTTCTGAGGGTTTGTTGGACCCTAAATATAACTTTCTGTCTGAGTACTTTCAGCTTTTTTCCAACAAAACACTACTGTCTAACTAACAAGTTATAGATTTAAAGGGTTAATCTGCTTAAACCATACATAGTTAACTGCTTTGGGAATGTCTGTGGGTTGGAAAAGTGAGCTGGTTATTTACAATTTGCAGTTTCATTTAGCAGAAGCTTTTATCCAAAGCGACGTACATCTGAGAGCAGATCAGAACCACCAGCCTTACGACTGGAGGACAACCCGCTCTACCACCTGAGCCACAGCTGCCTACTTGGACAATGGACAGCTCATGGTGGCAGCAGAGACCAGTTTAGCAGCAACGGGACCACGACAGAGACTTCTGTGGAGGCTAATGACCTCTATGTCCCAGCAGCTTAGTTAGCTGAGCCACCTCTGCTGTCCAAAGATGTCCCCAGCATCCCGCCACAAGTCGTCCTTTATAACACCTATGTGACAGCGGACGTGGACAAAGCATCAGGTTTGTTCTTGAACCAGTTGACTCTCGTCTCTCAGACCTGTGTGGGACATCATTTCCCTACATTTCCCTACATTTCCCTACGTTCAACTATAAACAGCTTCTGAATAGACGGCAGTTCCCAGGAGCCCAGAGGAAGCCAGAGAGAAGCCAAATCCGCCAACTAACCAACAAACCGACATCACCCTCCATCAGTGCTGCGCCATGACATCATTCTGCTTCCTCTCCACCGGTGTCCTGCGGTCTGGACTCCTAATTCTCTGGCCCGGGCGCTGAAGGTCTCCGCAGGGCTGGGCGACTTAATCCAACGATGAGAGACAAGAAAATCACAGTGCTGAGCTCCAGAGAGGCAGCGTGGCTCTGCAGCGTGTCAGCAGGAGGCTCTCCCTGTGCAGAGTGCCGCGATGCAACCTGACATTACCAGCTTGGATTGCCCCCAAATTAGACGGAGGTATTTTGCTTTGGCTGCACTCGCTGCTCCGCAAAAACCTGGACACTGTATAAACTCCAGAAATGTCTCTAATGACAGACATATGGAGCCGAAATGTGGCCCTGAGCTGCAGATAATCACTGTCATTTAGTGTTAGAGCAAATCAGCGCAGGCCATTAACACTCCGACCGGCACAGGCTTCAGCAGCACCAAAAGATCCGTTTGGTTAATACGACTGCAGCGGCAGGAATTTAAAATACATGTGTTTAAAGCTCCCAGAGATGCATCTGGTTTTACCGCCTTCATGCAGCACAAACAGCAGTTCAGTCACTACATGCTTCGTACTTACACTTCCTGCTTCTTGGTAATTTAGGTTTTCATCCCATAAATCAAATCCCACGTTGTTTATCTGAAAGAGACGAGAAAAGAGAAACTTAGAAAAGCTGAGCGTGTCACAGTTATTTTGATAGTTTATGAAATGATTAAGTGCAGATGGCGACTTGTGACATGGAGCCAAACAAATGTGACAATTTGCTTCTTTCTCTTGTTGATAATAAAACAAAGTGGAAGGCGTCGGTTCAGGCTCTGGAAACTGAAATGTGTCATCATTTCCTGACTTTTAAATGACTAAATATTCATTCAGTTAATTAAGGAAATATTTGGCAGATTAATAAACTCAGAAAACAATCATTCCTTGCAGCTTTATTGATACCGTCAGTCATTGGACCCAACGTTCCCAACACCAGCTAAGGAGGCAGAAGTTTGAATTATACAGTCGTGACTCGTTAATCCGACACTAAATATAAAACCTTCTTCTATGTTGGATATCAAGGCTGTGGGATTGTCCAGACGGAGGTCCAGATACGAGGAGGGCTTGATGCTGGAAGGATCATTAGTTGTTCATTATTGTTCATAGTTGTTATAATAACTAGTAGGGCTGGTCCCAATAGAACTTTCTGCTCTCTGGATGTTCAGGCCCAGTTAATGATGAATATCAGAACATTCTGTGCGGTCGGGGGCCACTTCCACCCCGGGGCAGCGCTCTGACGGGCAGTACTTGGCTCAAAGTGTCAAATAGTGCAAAAGAATATATAGACAAGGTAAATGCAGCTTCTCCTGCAGACAGGTGCTGCCCGGCTCAGACAGGTGATGAGTCGTATTCATCTGAACGTCTGAAGTCATGTTAAACATCACAATTAATATTAAACCATTAATTAGCTGCAGCTGAAGGCGTCGGCTGATCCCTGCGGGTGAAAGTTTTAAGGATCCAAAAAATATAAATTTAAATGTGATTTAAACATTTAAAATATTCAAAACTATTACATTTAAATGTATCTATTCAATATATTACATTTGATGCATTTAATATTTAAAGAATGAAGACATTTTACGTCCTTAAATTAAATTATTTTTAAACTTTTCTACAGATGGTGGAGTATTTTTTTCTCCTTCTCGTTAGAAGTCAGATTTTATCCTTCCAGCTAATTTATGAATTAAAAAAAACCAAACAGCTGTTCTGATTTCTTCGGTCTAAAGTGGGATATCTATCGTCACAGACTGCCTGGAGCTCAGCTGGTTAATGAGGAGGAGTGAAGCAACCTGACAGACAAACAGAAATAATGACAAGAGCACGAGTACATGTTCTGACCTTTATCAGCTCAGACTAGAACCAAGAACCAGCTCAACACTAACACCAGTAGATTAAAACAACAAAGATGCATCTGCAGCTCTCAATGTGCACATCAAGTATAAAGAAGGTTCTAATGCAGGTCATTCAAATACACGTCTCAGCGTCGTTCTGGGTTAATATCTCTAATAAATCCCCGTTGTGGTTTGTAGACGTTGGAGATGTTGGACTGCTTAACCTGTGATATCTTTCTGTCAGTATCAGAGGCCATCTCACCCTGCAGGACTAATTACTGCTCTGACTACACCTGTGCTTCTGCTTCCAACACGTTTCAGGACAAAACCCCGAAGCCACCAAGTCGCTGCTGCTTTACAAAGCTTCTGTGTCGGGCCTTTAAACCGTCCAGTTATCAACGGTGGAAGAAAGAAAAGTGGACAAAGCGAGCAGAGGCAGCTGAGATGAGGCTGAGCTGACAATAAAGCAGGTAATTGAACGCTCTGAATTGAATCCAGCCTCATGTCAGATTCAACAGGAGACTCAGGTCAGAACTCTAAAGTCTGGGTTTTCATCAACATTCTCCACCGCTCCTCTCACAGTGAGCACTTCTCTCCTTTACTCACCATCATCTCGCTCCACTTGCACTATAAAGTGACATTAAACAGGCTTATCATCAAACACTTCGTCTTTCTTCGCTTTGCTTTGCCTCCACTCAACCGCCGTGGTCGAACTTCTACTGTTTGGACCCATGCGAGCCTCCGTACCGAGCGTCAGGTTCCCGGAAGTAGCTTCGCTCTCATAACAAAAGCGAGCAACGTAGTTTTCTCGCCGCATTATGACCAATTTAACCCACATTCCCGCTGATTTGGGCCGTGAAACGGGTCGTTTTCAATGCGAGGACACTCCGTTATCCGGTCAAAGTCTGCTGCCGGGACACTTTCGACTTTTTCCGGTAACTTTGATGGAGGTCCGAGCAGGCTAACAGGTTAGCCACAGCAGCTAACCAGATGTTCCAGCAACTTTAGTCCGATGAAGATTGTTCTTGGACTTTTAATGTGGTTTTAAAAAGTGGAATATTGTCCAAACCTACAGGTGAGTGACTTCTTTACCTGCCGTCTGTCCATGTGTTGTGTTGGCTTTAATTTACAGGTGTGTATAGCTACAGGTGGACTCTAAGCCACATACTTTATTACAACTAGCTCATGTGTGTAAACAGTAACCCTGTTTTTATTGTTAATAGCTGTAATAAGTTTTGTCTTTACATTTTATAATAAACTTTGGGTTCACATTAAACATGTTCTTTTACTCATATTTAAAGCTTTATATAGAAAACACTCATTTTATTTTTTTAACCTGTTGCAAGTTTTTTTTATTATTATTTTAAATGCATGTGTTTTTTGTTTAAGCATCGTGAAAGCAAAGAAGAAATCTGAGTTAAATCCTTTGTATGTGTTCACATACTTGTCCAGTGAAGCTGCATCAGATTCTAATAAAGAAAGGTTTCCAGTGATGAAACTGGTATTACATCAGTTATACTTTAATTCTAAGCAAGTTAAGGTGAAATATTACCGGTTCTGCTCGATGTATAAATGTGATTTTAACAGTTAAAGACAGTTTAACCCAACAAGCAGTTCCTCTCTGTGGTTCTGAACCTCACAGGGCAGGAAACAAACTAAAACATTATTTTTGCTTCATGAAATTCAAGCGTTTCATCAAATTTCTCTTTTTTCATGAGAATGTCAGTCGACTTTTGCCATTTAGCAGCGTCTGAATAAAGTTTTAAACCAACTACTGGACCCAATATTCAGACATTTTCAGCGCCGTTGTCTTTTTGAACTAATTCCCATCAACGTAAATACATGTTTAAAATATCCTACGTTTGCCTCCCCGTCACCATCTGGACTGTCTGACTGGTCAGAGGTTCACAACTGTTGAATGAATGAATAGAATAAAAGGTACATTTAAGAAATAAATCAATTCTGACTCCAAGATTTTCAGTTTTGCAAATTTGTATTCGTTCAATATCAGAATCTGCCCTAAAAACCACATCAGTCGACTCCTGCAAGTGATCTTTGCAGCCTGTGATGAGGGACAAATACAGAATATACATATATATATATATATATATATATATATATATATATATTTATATTTAATCAGGAGAGACGAAAAGGAAGAACCCAAATAAAGAAGAAGTTTGAACTGATTTATCAGGTTAAGTTTTCTTTATATTCGGCCCAAACTTCTAAATGAACGGACCTGTCACGTCTGGTTCTGACTTGGTGTTTTCTCGTCTGTGCGTTTATCACCAGCAGCTGAAGTTTAAGAAAAATGTTTTCAGAATTTGCTTGATTTAAATGGAGCGTTTTAATGTTTTCAGTCAGTCGTGGGACGTCAACTGATGTGTTATTTTTTTTAAATTATAGATGAATAATAATGAAGGAGAAACGATATTTAACTGTCAAAACAGTGAAACTTTTGGTTTAGAAACAGCTCCAGTGCTCGACTTCATTTAAAGCGCTTGTTTATGAAGTTTCACATGCGTTTAATTAATAGTTAAAACTTTTCAGCGTTTATCCTTCAGCTGGCTGTCACTCCTCAAGTGGAACTGTGGGTGGAAATTGCTTTCAAATTAATTAGTTTCACAGTCTGTGAAATGTCTCTGTGTGTTTGGTGGGTTCTCCACTCGGATGCCAGTTTATTAAGGACACCAACCTAAAGCTGAAGCCGTCTGATCGCGTTATGTTCACTTCTTCCAGCTTTGTGATGCAGTCTGAGGTGCTTTAAATCTGAGTCACACACAGACATCAGCTTCATTTATAAAAGCAGCACAGTGTTTCTGGAGTCGGTAACGTTTCCTCTCCCCCGTGCAGGACGATGCCACGCCTGCAGTCGGGTGTCTGGAAACACTTCACGCCGGCGATCAAAGATGGGAGAGAAACCTTCATGTGCAACTACTGCTCCAGGACGTACACCAAGAACGCCACCAAGATGCAGATGCACCTGGACAAGTGTAAGGAGTACTCTGTGGTGTCTCAGCGGTCGCCGGGTCCAGACGGTAGCTCCTCGGCCTCCATCCCTGTGCCCTCCTTCTCCTTCCTGCCGTCAGCCTCCTCCGGGGGACACTTCCTCCTCGACTCGGTGGACCAGCGCAGTCAGGCGTTGGCCGACGAGTGCCTGGCGAGGGCCGTGTTCGCCTCGTCGTCGCCACTCGATCTCACAGACAACATTTACTGGAAACGGTTTTTGGGCGTCCTGCGGCCGGCGTACTGCCCACCCACCACCGAGGCTCTGGCCACGCACCTGCTGGACCGCGAGTATGACCGTGTGAGGAGCCGCATCCACGAGGAGGTGGGGAGGTCGGACTGCGTCTCCATCGTCTGCAGCGGCTGGTCCGACGTGAACGAAACCAGAACTATCATTTATGTCGTTGCAACTCCTGTGCCGCTGTTCTACAAATGCACCAAGACGAAGGAGCAGTCGAGCACGTTCATCGCAGAGGAGCTGAAGGGCGTCATCCAGGAAGTCGGGCCTCAGAAGGTCTTTGCCGTTGTCACCGACGACGCGCCGGAGATGCCGTCAGCGTGGCTTCAGGTGGAGGAAGCGTTTCCTCACATCTCAGTGGTCGGCTGCGCTGCTGCTGCTGTCCGGCGGCTCTTCGACGACGTTGTGACGCTGCCGTCCATGAGGTCGCTGTGCCGCAGAGCTGAGCAGGTGTTCAGGTGCGTCAGAGAGCAGGACACGCTGGCAGAGACGTTTAGAAGCTGGCAAACCACTAAAGTCAGAAGTGGCTCGTCTACAGGGCTGGAGCTGCCTTCCAGCGCCGACTGGACCACCATGGTAAACGTGCTCAGCTGCCTCCTGGACGGCCAGAACTCCCTGCAGGACCCGGCCAACACGCTGGACGTGGAAGCCTCCGTCAGGGCGACTCTGCAGGACGCAGTCTTCTGGAAAAGTCTGAGCAGCAGCCGCAACCTGCTCTACCTGATCGGGAACTACATCGACTTCCTGAGGAGGGAAGACGCGGTTCTCTCCGGCGTCGTCGACACATTCAGCCAGTTAAGATACGTGATCGGAGCCTCTCTGAGCGGGTCGGCGCTGCTCGGTGGTGAGCAGGAAGCCGTCATGGCATCTTTAGACCGATGTCAGGAGTTCTGCGTGAAGCCGATCCACGCAGCGGCGTTCATGCTGGACCCAAAGCACGCCGCACAGCAGACGCTCTCTGGGGAGCAGGTCAGCGGCGCCTACCACGTCATCTCCACGCTGTCGCAGCACCTGGACCTGGACGAGGGCCAAGTTCTGGGCAGCTTCGCCCGGTTCTCGGCCAAGCAGGGCCTGTGGAGGACCGCCGGGGTCTGGAGCTCCTGCCAGCACGTGTCTGCAGCCACCTGGTGGAAAGGGCTGTGTTCGTCCGAGCCGCTGTCCGCCGTCGCCTGCGCCGTTCTCCAGATCCCACCGACGGCAGCGGCCTGCGATCGCCTGCGGTCGCATTTCTGCAGCGCTGAAGCACAAAGTTCTGTCTCAGTGGAAAGGATGCAGAAGCTGGTGGCCGTGCAGGCGAACCTCAACCTCCTGGAGCCCGAGTGTGAGTTTCCTCCGCTGGAGAGCGACGAGGAGAAGAAGGTTTTCTGTCAGTCTGAGACTACATGAGGAGCTACGCAGAGGAAACGGCCTTTTATTCAACAGAGTCCAGTTTATTGGGTCAAATCTGCTCTTGTCTGGACAGGATCAGCTGAGATTGCACTGAGTTTGTGTTCCTCTGTGAAAAAACTTAATGTGACGCTCTCATGTTTTATTGCGTGTTTTTTTATTTTTTATCACAGTTTCATGCAGCGTGTCTAACTTTATAACCACAATGTGACAGATGAACGTTTACCTGGTGTAAATAAATCCTCTGTATTTATTGAAGAAAACTCTTTCGTCTGTTCTGAGTTCATGTCTGCATCCAGAAACGTTTGGACTAATAAGTTGTGCTTTTTTATTTCTACAGAAAAAACTTTTAGGAGGAGACGAAGGTTTTATGTGGAACCTACGATTAGTCCTGAAGGTGTAGTCGACAGTTTGCTTCTCACACGGCTGGAAGCAAATCTGTCGCACCAGATTTAGAAATTTAAAATCTGCTGAATGTCTATTTTTGTATTTTATTGAAATTAAATGGAACATTGATTCTGAATTTGTGGCCATTTAAAGACAAAAGTGAAAATAAGTTCTTGAAAAGCTGATGAGCTGAATTCAGACGTATAATTTCAATGCAATAAAAAGCAAAGTTTTGAGTTTTCAAACTTCTGGTGAGACTGATTTGCTTCCATGTGAACAGATTAAACACCAAACTGCACCGTGTGGATTAATGCTAGGTGTCTCTTTATACCTCCTTCCAGCCAGACTTGCTGTTTCCAGTCTTTATGCTAAGCTAACGGCTTCTGGCTGCAGAATTTTGATCCTTTTCAAATATCTGCCATTGACTAAAATGGAAGAAGTCCAGGTTTAGCACTTCACCAGAGACCTGATGAAGCAAAGTTTAGCCTCGGCTCGTGAGAGAATTCAAAAACCACAGCATCACGGGAAGCTGCTGCAGCAGCGTCGACGCGCTGAAGCGTTGCCGGCTTTCTCTGGGCGCTGGTCGGCGGTTTGGCTCGGCGAAGCCTCGGGCCTCTGAGGGGAGATCTGGGCCTTGTAAATACCAGCATTATTAATCTTAATAGGAGCGAGTCGCAGCCTCAAAGGCAGCAGACCTGCACTAAATCTGAGGCTGTTCTCTGCTGCATCACTCCATAAATCCACTGCTGCCTCGCGCCTTCAGCTCTTCACCCCGGTGTCGGCTCCGTGGGGGTTTCTGGGTCGTGTGTGGGCAATAATTACAGCGCCGGCATACATTGCTCTGCAGCTCGCATGATGTGTGCTGTTTGTGACAGATGGCGGTGCGTTGGTTGGGTTTAAAGCTGCCCTTTCAGTGATTCAGCCGCACCAGGCAGGCAGGCTGCGTGAAATTACTGATATGGTGATTTTACACTCCGGTCATGCTTTCATCTGCGCTTCATCATTTGCTGCAGGCTTCGATTATCAGAGTCGTGTGTCATCAGCTCCGGAGGTGTTCCAGCAGAACAACAGGCCTCGGCACGACGCAGCCCAACTTTGGAGGACGTCGGGTTTGATTTCATGTTTGTCTTGTCGTAGAAATCCTTCAGAGCTTCAGTTGAAGGCAGCTGGATGTAACACGCCTCCATTAGAGAATCAAATAATCTGTGAGGTGGCCGTTATTCATCCCACAGAGAGGAAGTGTGCAGCTACAGCAGCAATGACAGTGAAGGAATGTAGTAATGAAATATACATAAACAGTTGTAGGAATAACAGGTTCTATTCATGCATAGAAATACTGAGAGAAACATTCATGCACAGATTGTAGAAATATATCGATGTGGCACTTGTTCTAGTTTATGTTAAAATATATAGATGTTGCCCAGTTTTTACAGTATTTTCAGTGTTCCTGATTCACAGGATGAGTATTTGTACACAAGAGAAGTACGACAGGTTCTCAGTGTTGTTACCAAATATAATCAGTTAATAACATTAATTTCTCCTTCATTTCTCCAAGAGGTAAAATTATTTCCATCGTTCTGGGAAACTGTCAAAAGAAAAAATAATCATGTTTAAATGAAGGAAAATGTCGGAGCTTTAAAGTGCAGCTGCAGTGAAAGTCAGAAACAAGACAAGAAACACAAGAGTCGGATCAGATAAAGTCAATAACAGATGATTTACACGTTTACAGGCACGGACCTGATACACGACGGTACCGGACTACAGAGTGAAGAACTGTAGATAAACGTTAGAGATACGTTGTCAGATGAGTTTGTTTTATCCTCCATGAAGCTCCTGATGGTTCCTGTAGTTTACTGACGTTCTGGTGAAACGTGAGCTTCATGACGTCGCGTTTCGTTTCATCCACTTGCATCAGGCAACATCTGGATGCTGAAGCAAAGCGAGCTGTTGTGCTGAATGGGTTTGTTGCTACGGGCCGCTGTGTGATGCCGTTGGCAGCGGCTGGCGTCCAACGCAGCCTGATTCATCCCAGCAAACGTTGGCTGGAGCTGAAAGTCGGGGACTCGTGTGGGACGAGGAACGGCACCAAATAACCCAAACAGTGACGGCCCTGCTGGGAAGATGGTCCAGGAGGAGCTCGTCTGCTGCAGAAGGTTGTAAAAAAACATCAGCTCAAACACTCTGAGTGCTGAAAATAACATCGTCTTCTTGATAGGCACGTTGGAAATCTGCGTTTAACTGCGTGACATCATCTTCAGATCGGATCATCAATCATCTCCGGGGGCGTTTTCATCCTCACACCTCCTCTTTTATCTCCATCCTCCGCCTCAACGGCAACCTGAGGATTCGCTGGAGGAATCAAAGCAGGCGAAGGCAGCAGCCGGCGACTCTCTGCGCTCTCCTCCCACCCATGAAGACCAAAGGTGGAGCTTTTGTCTTCCACCCAGGAGATGAAGTGAGAGAACAGAGCTGCTGCTGCTGCTGCTGCTGCTGGAACGTGTTGCTGCAGAAAAACCTCGGCGCTGCCAAGAAACGCAGCTCTAACTGCAACCAGATGCACAATTATGAGCACTTACAGCCGCCGAGGCCTTTTGGTGGGCGAAGAGAGAAACCAGTTGGCAGAGAAACCAGCATTCTGCAGAAATATTTATCTGCTTTAAGCTGTTGCTTTAATGCGCCCGTTTTATTGTCTCCAACACGCAGATTGTGTGTTCTGAACCACATGAACCGCTGCACAACTTTTATACGCTAATTATAGCTCCAGCGCACTCTGGATGTGGATTTCCATCCAGCTCATTACTGAACGAGCCAGATTCCTTCCTGGGCTCCACAAAGATCCAAACAGATTACCGAGCTGCTCTATTTGTCTCCGTCTGAGGATCTAACGTTCATCCTTCCTGACGTATAGTTTCCTGAGCAGAGCCAGCGAGGACGCCGCCTCGTCCGTCTTGTCAGAGCGATTCCTTCGGTGGGAACTTCTCGGAGAGCGATGGAGAAAATGAGATAGAGCGAATGAAAAGCAGCTGTTTAGCATGTTTGAGAAAGTCCCTTTTCCTTAATTCTCTCCCGTTCTGAGGTGTTTTTTCCATTTACCCGGCGTGGCCCGATCAGATTTAATGCGGCTGTCAGACTTAAGAGAAGCAGATTTATTATTCAGGAGTCTCTGTGAATTTTTCAAACAGCAACTTATTAATTTCAGACAGAAACGAGGTTCTCGTTTCAGGCCGGAGACGGTTGATTTTTGCTAAAACCGTTTCTGTCGGCACGACTGCATCCCTAATGAACATTAGTTAACCACGTGGGTTGATTAAAAATGCTATTTTCAGCTGATTGGTTTTAAAATAAGGATCTTTTAAGGTTTTGTCACAGTTCCAACATGTTCAGATGATGCTTTCTTACCTTTTTGAAAACCAAATAATGAGCAAAGTCATCAGCTGACATCAGGTCTGAGCATCTGCACCTGAAACTGAAGCGTCTCAGTGACGGAAACACAGATTCAGACTTCTGGGGTTTCACACATGACAAACCAAAGACCAGAACCTGTCTGTTGTTGTTACTGTGAGTCCAGACGACATTTAAACCTCTTCAATGTAGAAAACGGATCATGTTCATTGGAAACAGTTCTTCTTACTGACTGATCTCCATTGTTGGTATCGTTCTGATATCCGTATGTTCCACCAGTTACTGCTTCTGTTCTCGTGTGATTGCCAGTTTTCTGAGCAGCACCTTCAGATTAATAAAGTTCTATCTTCTCTTACGTTATCAGAACATCTGATGGTATCCAGGACCAGATTCTACTCTCACACTAATTAACTAACCACTAGTTTTGAGGTCTTTGCTGCCTCGGCTCATCATCCAGTTCTACTACAATGTTGGATGTATCTGTGAACATCCTCAGTCCTCCAGGTCGTGGTTCTTCTCGTAGTTTAGTCGTAGCAACTGGACTTGCTTGAGTTCCTTGAACATCGTTTCATCTCTCCCACATTCTTACATCCTTAAGGAGCCTCAAGTGTTCATGGCTCCTTAAGGATGTAAGTATCTGGAGCTCCCAGCTAGTCCTAGAGACGAGTAGAGACGACTAGAGATGACTAGAGACGACTAGAGAGGTGAAACGTCTTTAAGGAACTCAAGCAAAAGTTGCTACGACTAAACTACAAGAACAATGTTGGACGTAGTACTTCAGCTGTATTCCTGTACGACTTCTGTAGTTAATTCCAAGGATTTAAAGCGATGAGGCAGAAGATGAGGAACAAGCATGTCAGTAAACATACCGTAGACCAGCTGTAGTACCTGGTTGTTCCACCAGGTGGAGCCTCTTCCTGTTTAGAGAACAGAGGAGGCGTCTCCAGACTACAGCTCATGGTGGCAGCAGAGAGCATTGTGGGAGTTTAGCAGCAACGGGACCATGACAGAGACTCTGAGGAGGTTCAGGACCTCCGACTGGAGCCCGACCTGTGAGTCAGTATTTTGAAAGAACTTAACATTTGAAGTAAGATAAAGTATTTCTAATAAAGCAACATGGCTGTCTCAAAAGGATAAATGAGTTCAGTGAGATGCTTTGTGGAGGCAACTTGTCTAATCATGTTGGTGGACCAAATGAGTTCAACAAGATG